GCCACCGCTTCGCGACCGTGACGGTCAACCGCGGACACTGCCACGGCATCAGAGCTCGTGCCGCGGGGACAAGTGCTGAACGCCCTGAGTGGCAACCCGCCGCCAGGGCCGCCACAGGGCCCACCCCCCGGCGAGCCGCCAGGAGACCAACCAGCACCACAACCTCCATCCAGGTCCTGGAGGAGGAGGAGGAGGAGAAGAAGCAGGAGGAGGAGGAGGAGGAGGAGAAGCAGGAGAGGGAGGAGGAGGAGGAGGAGGAGGAGAGGGAGGAGGAGGAGGAGGAGGAGGAGGAGGAGGTGGGAAAGGTGGACCGGAACCCACTGACATACACGAGGATACCTTCCTCGACCTTACGGGCGCCTCTCCGCAGAAGCGACCCCGTACTGTCGACGTGCCTGACCCCCCTCATCTACCATCACCGCCTGAACAACATGCCCTACCATCACCGACTCAACAACAAACCCTGCCTGCGCATCATTTTGGTAACATCGAGGACACAGCCGCGAATCGCAAGGCACACGAATTTGCTGAATGGCTTAGTCGCAAGCAGGGCGACACTGAGATCTCTACCAGTGGAGGCGCCAGCTGCTGCTGCAGAGCAGCCGCCTGCAGTGCCCGCCCAACTCAACTCGGGCACTGCCGATGCAGCCGCCGATCCTGCCGCTACGATGCCAGAACAGATGCCAGAACAAGCCTCTCAAGGCCCCATCGACGACTATGACGACAACATATCCGACAGGTCTGGATCGGCCATGATCCAGGAGTGGGCCAAGATTGCGGAGGAGCAAGCTCGGCAAGAAGCGGTTGCTCGGCGACCACTGAACACCGAAAACCAGCGCGGGGCTTAGGCCCAGCGCCAGCTGCGCCAGGAGGACGCCCCACATGCACTCCAACGAAATCGCCAGGGATACCTCGACCCGCGCGAGCGAGCCAACAAGCGCAAGGAGCTCTTGGGCGACTTGCCCAAGTGTCTCAAGAGGCCGAAGGATGCCTTCAAGGTCAGTCTCTTCTTGGACAATCATTTCCAGACTCACCAGGACGAGATATCCTCGTCCATTCGAGTCCGGGGCATGCCCACGGGCAACGGGACTTCGAAGGGGCTGAAGTGCGATAACCTCAGAATCAAAGAGAAGAAGAACACTGATGTTGCCATGAAGACCGAGTGGTCGAAGTGGACGGAGTTCGGCGCCTACAAGCAGCTCCCTGCCCAGGAGCTGAGGAGCTCCTGCGTCGCAACCCTGGCATCCGTCCTGCAGGGACATGCTGGGTGCTGACCAGGAAGGGCCCAGACGTCATGAAGGCCCGGCTAGTCGTCCAGGGCTGCCTGGAAGATAAGTCGCAGATCAGGACAGGCGGGCCTACAGGATCGAGAGGAGTTTGGAGCGTCTGGGGGGTACAGGATCGAAAGGAGGATGAGGAGGAGGAGGAGGAAGAGGAGGAAGAGGAGACTGAGGGGGAGAGGAGGAGGATGAGGAGGAGGAGGAGGAGGAGGAGGAGGAGGAGGAGGAGGAGAAGGACCCTCGCCGCTGCGGCCCAGAAGGGCTGGAACCTCGAGCCCTGCGACGCGATGACGGCCTGCCAGCAGTCGGGGCGCCTCGAGAAGCCGCTGCTTCTGCGCATGCCAGCCGAGAGCCCACCGCCAGGGATGCAGCCCGGCGAGACTGCGATGGCCACCAGCGCGATCCGCGGCGCGCGCGACGCGGGGCGGCAGCGGTGCCTTTACGCGCAAATGGTATTCGCATCGTACGGCCTCATCGAAAGGCATGCTCGAGAAGGCCCTCTACTACTTCTACGACGAGAAGGGGCTCGCCGCTATGATCCACTCGCACGTGGACGACTTGCTGATCGCTCTGCACACTAACTCCAGCCGCTGGAGATCCATGATCGCCTCGCTGGAGAAGAAGTTGCACATCAAGAAGGCCGAGGAGGTCATCAACTAGCTACTGCGGACGAACCATCACCAAGCTCGACGACGAGTTCAGGGTGACCCAGGCCACCGCCGCCGCGCAGGTGGACTTCATAGACTTCAAAGGCGAACGATGTCGAGGCGCAGAGGATCGACTCACTACCTCGGAAGTGTCAGGACATCGACACACGCTCGGGCAACTGCTTTGGCAAGCAGTCCAAGCCGGGGGCGACATCGCCTGTCCGGTGAGCTTCGCCGCTCGCCGCACGACCGCCGCCACTGTGGCCGACGCAAAAGCGCTGAATGAGACCGTCGCCTACGCACACTCTGCCGCGAACTCCGCGATCGTGCTCAGACGGAACCTCGTCGACCTCATGACGTGCGCCACCGTGTGCTTCAGCGACGCCGCGCTCGCCAACGCAGACGGGGTCAGGGGCCAGTGGGGCATGTTGATGGGGCTGACGCATCGGCCCCGAGGTGTCACTCGCCATCGCTCGGACGTCCATTCCCTGTGCTTTTTTCGGTTTCGTGCGTGGCTTTCTCGCAAGATGATCAAGGATGCTCCTCGAGGATCCTCGCCGAGGACAAAACGCACACGTCCGAGCGATGCCAAGGTCATCGGAGGCCCGCTCGACCCGTGCTTGCCCGTGGCCGGGCGCGCATGGCGCAGTACAAGAGGTCGGTGAAATAGACCCTCGCTGCCTTCTCTTCCTCCTCCTCCTCCTCCTCCTCCTCCTCCTCCTCCTCCTCCTCCTCCTCCTCCTCCTCCTCCTCCTCCTCCTCCTCCCCCCCCTCCTCGTCCTCCTCCTCCTCCTCCTCCTGCTCCTCCTCCTCCTCCGCTTCCTCCCCCCACTCCTAGCCCTTTCGATCAGGGTCGGCGGCACCGGCCGTCAGGCCTCTCCAATAGACCCTCGCTGCCGAGGGCTGTGCGACCCTCGAGGAAGCGGAGACCAACACCTGTTTCCGCCAGCTGCTCACCGAGGCCTACAGCCCCACGAGGCCGCTCGACATGATCGACGCGCTCGCGGAAAAAGCGGCCCGGGGAGATTGACAGCGACAGCAGGGGCCTCGTGACGCACATCCAGTCTGCTGTGGGCCAGTCTACGGACAAGCGGCTCCGCATCACCGTCTCCTTGATCAGGGAGGCCATACATTCGAACAGCGCCCTGCGGATCAACTGGATTCCTTCTTGGGCCATGGTCGCACACGCATTGACGAAGACGATGGAGGCCTCTTTCTTCGGGGCCCGCAGACATACCTACGGCACCCGAAAGCCGCACGCCGCCATGCTTGCTTCGGTTCTGTTTACCTGCCTAGGCAGGGTCAAGGGGCAGCCTACGCCATCGCCGACTCCGCCCATCGATATCATGTTAGATTGCTACACGTGCTACATGACCTGCTTTGCATTCTCCTCGGCATTATCATCGGGTGTGGCTTTTTCGTAAGCATGTGGGCGATCCTGAGGCAGAACCACATGCGCTCGCTGTGCGAACCTCCACCAACATCGGAGCCTATGCAGAAGACGGTGAACATCTGGGTTAGGACGGACGACGTCTGTGCAGGCGCAACCAATCAACGAGAAAGCCGACCATCCCAAAAGAGCAGGATCACGACGGTGACATCTACATGCCACCCGTGGACGGTCATGGCAGTGGCCATGCATCGAGCTCGTCGGCAGCCTGCGCTAGCGCATGCGCGCTGCAGCCGCCCCCCCGCCACCTGCACCGACGGAGCCACAACCTGCGGACTCACCGCCTACACCGCCACCGGGGATTGGACCGTCAGCGCCAACATCACCGAGCGTGGTCTCAGTCACCAGCGAGTACGAGCGTGACTTCCTGGGACGGATCTGCGCCTACGGTCGCACGGCTGGAGATGAACCCCTGTGCGGTGGCAGCGCACAACCCACCACAGCGTCTACGTCACCTGCAGGTCCTGTCGGAAGCACGCATCCTGGCTACTGCGCAACTATCGAGATCATGAGCCTGATTTCTCGCAGATGCACCATACGCTGAGGTGGGAGTTGAACCATCGCTGGAGGCAGCTCACGGGGAGCTATCCAACCAGGAAGGGCAGCAAGGCTGCAAAGGCTGAATGAATGATCTCCACCGCCGCTGAGTCTCTCATATTCCGTTGGCAGGTCGCAAAACGACCCAGATCACGTAAGTCCGCATTGCACTGTTCTGCCGTGTTTCAAGACCACCCCGCTTCCACGTAAGTCCGCATTCCATGTTTTGTCTCCCAGCTTTTCACAAACAACTGCTGCATGGCTAGCCAAAAGCTAGCCAAAAGCTTTCCAGCGTCGCGCGCAAATTCCATACCACATCCTTGTGTACTGATAACTTTAGTAAGGGCTCCATAGTACGAGCTCCTCATAGAGAATCCCTTCAATACAAATCCTTTTTCAAAGATTTCGAGGAGCTACTCTTGCTCCTCACCCTCTCTCAATCTTTTTTTTTTTTTGTTTTCTCTCTCTCTCTCTCTCTCTCTCGCTCTCTCTATCTCTAGAGATCGTCACCCGGGCAACCATTGTGCTCACGATTGGAGGAGCCAACGGCAAACCAACAGAGCCCACTGAGGGCCTCTAGGAGCTTCTAGATGGCCAGGGCAGCCCCAAGAGGGCCCCCTGGCACAAGACGGCCCCAGACGGGCCCAGGACAGCCCAATAGTGCCCCAACATGGCCCAAGAGGGCCACCAAAAGCTCCCAATGCAGGCCCAAGAACCTCCCTAGGCAACTGAGAGGGGGCTGGGGTCCCAAGAGGGCCCAAGATGGCACCAAGACTGCCCAATAGAGCCCCTAAGACGCTCCAAGAGAGTTCAAAGAGGGCCCGAAGAGAGAGGAGGAGGAGGAGGAGGAGGAGGAGGAGGAGGAGGAGGAGGAGGAGGAGGAGGAGGAGGAGGAGGAGGAGGAGGAGGAGAGCCCCACAGGAGCCCAAGACAGTCCCAACACGACCCGGGTATGTAGTCCCCTTGAGAGCCTGACCGACGAGAGGTGTCACGCGCAACAGCCTCCTGGGCGGTGCTCGAAGCGCCGACACGCAGGGCGCTGCGCTGGCACGGTGGTGGGACGTGCCGCAGGCAGCCAGATATGGCGAAAAGGACGAAGAACAAGAACACGAGTTGAACGCTCAGACTCAGGGGCGACAGCGCCTCGAAGAGCTCACCCCAGTTGATGCCCCCGGACATCGCCTCAAACAGCGAGAGCGCACAGAGGTGCAGGGTGCCGAAGTAGTGGCGCAGGTCCGCGCTCGAGCTGTCTTCCCACAGGTCGTGCTCGCGCAGGTGGTCAATCACCGCCTGAGTAAAGATTAGCCCAAATAAATCCGCCGGCCCCCTTGTGGGGCCACCAGGCTGTAGGCACGGGTTCGCAGTTTCCAGTACCAGTTGTAGCTTGTAGTTTCCAGTGCTACAGTTCTGCTTCTTGCTGGTTACTGTAACTAGTTGATTGACCGCGCGAGGGGGGGGGAGGCCCAAACAAGATTTTTAGCCTCACCTGGGCGCGTTGTCTGAATTGCTGGGGGGGCTCGAAATCGACACCCCTCACGCAGATCCGCGGGGTCAGGGTCCAAAAACACATGGGATTTGCCACATTTCTGAAATTCGGTGCCACCCCTCACGCAGATCCGCGGGGTCAGGGTCCAAAAACACAGGGATTTGCCACATTTCTGAAATTCGGTGCCACCCCTCACGCAGATCCGCGGGGTCAGGGTCCAAAAACACATGGGATTTGCCACATTTCTGAAATTCGGTGCCACCCCTCACGCAGATCCGCGGGGTCAGGGTCCAAAAACACATGGGATTTGCCACATTTCTGAAATTCGGTGCCACCCCTCACGCAGATCCGCGGGGTCAGGGTCCAAAAACACATGGGATTTGCCACATTTCTGAAATTCGGTGCCACCCCTCACGCAGATCCGCGGGGTCAGGGTCCAAAAACACATGGGATTTGCCACATTTCTGAAATTCGGTGCCACCCCTCACGCAGATCCGCGGGGTCAGGGTCCAAAAACACAGGGGATTTGCCACATTTCTGAAATTCGGTGCCACCCCTCACGCAGATCCGCGGGGTCAGGGTCCAAAAACACAGGGGATTTGCTACATTTCTGAAATTCGGTGCCACCCCTCACGGACATCCATCGCAAGGCGTGGTAACCCAAACTGCGAGTACTCCCTCGGCCCTTTAATCCCAAGGTGTGGTAACCAAGCTCGTAAACCATACACGTCTTACCAATCGCCCTGTGTCGTAACCCCTCTTGTGATCAGTTGGTTTTGCCGATTGCGAATCGGCCTCGCGTGAAGTCCCGATACTGCTGCGCGACAGCGCCAAAGCCTCATGACTTAGCTCTTCCATGGCCCATTCTCCGAGAGAGGGGGCCGGCGGCAGGGGGCGAAGCCCTTACGGATAGAACATGCCCGCAAGGACGAGGGCGGCCCAGAGCAAGGGCCGCAACGAGAACATGATCGACCGGATCATGATCCGCAGCTGCGAGAAGACCCTCAGCTGCCTAACCGCCCTCAGGAACCGGACAACCCGAAGGGTGCGCAGGATGCGCAGTCCTGACAAGCGCTGAGTCAGGCTGCCAATCAAGTCCAGGATCATCAGTACCACCACGGAGATGTCAAAGTAATTCCAAGCTGCGTCGCCCCCCGTCCAGAAGATGCAGCCCATGGCGTATATCTTGATCGACAGCTCCAGGGCGAACACAGCGCAGAAAAAGGCCTCCAGCTCGGTGGTCAGCGGCAGCTTCCTCCGGGTGTGGGCCTCGTACTCCACCTGCCAGCCCAGGAAAGCGGAGTTGGCGAATATCAGCAACATCACGCACACCTCGCTCCCCCCAGGACTCGCAAGCATTGAACTAGATCCGTCCGTGTCCGTCCCTCTTTCCTGCCCCGCTACGCCATGAGGCACGTGGGTCTAGAACGACCCGTTCCGCCCCCCCGCTACCAACAGGCCCACACCTCCATTCCCCGCACCCACTCAGCCCCGATAGTCTTCCCCAGGGGAGAGCAAAAGGTACCTATACCGCTACTCCCCGCACCTCTCATGGGGTGCGTTCTGACCAGGATTTGAATCGAGTCCAGCCGTGGCGACGAGGGCCTCCAGGGAGGCCCAGAAAGGCGGAGACGAGGCAAGGGCAGCGGCATCGGTACCTTTTCCTCTACCCTTCCCCAAACCTCCGTGTCGCCCTCCCCCCAAAAGCTCCCCCCCCCTCCCCCAGCGCACACCTCGTAGCCTGTGCTGGACACCAGCCTCCTCGCCCGCTGCCGCACCGGCGACGTGTCGCTGCCGAAGCAAGCGAGTTTCCGCACGGACCACGGCATCGCTATCCAGTTGGCAGAAGTGGAGGCCGTCGGAGCTGAGTCGAGCCAGAAACCCTGGAGGTCGTAATTGCTGATCGGGTCCTGCTGGATCAGATCGATGGCGCCAGTTGCGTCCGCCTGCGTCTGCTGCGGCTCCTTCGAGACGTTGCTGCCGTCCCAGAGCGACCACGCGGCCGACCTCATGCTCTGCATGCTGCCCGAGCCGAGCGAACCGACCCTGGTGGCCCCGGGCGCAGGCGACGCTGGCGGCGGCGGCGTCGCCATCAAGGACGACGGCGACCTCTTCCGTCTGGGTGACGGTGACGGTGACGGCTGCGGCGATGGCGCCCGCTGGCCCTCACACGGGAACCCAACACGGCATGAGCACAGTTTCTCGGAGCAGCGCGCGGATTCCTTGGATCGGCGCTGGACCCCCTTTCTCTGGCGCGCGGCGCGCGCCAGGGGTAGCGCTGGAGGCGCCGCCAGGGGGGCCCAACGCCGATGCCAGAAATCCGCGCGGAACTCCGAGAAGTTGTGTCGACGCCGTGCTCCCAGATCTCCGACCGCTCCCATTTTTTCGATGCGTGGGCCCCCGAAGCCTGAACCACTTCCCTGGGGCCGGCGTGTCGTCCTGACTCGTTCTTGGACGCTCCCGAGGCCCGGCGAGGGCCCCGGGAGGACGACAGCGGCCCCCAGTCGGACGCTCCCGATTTTTGGGGGGGGGGCGTCGGATCTCTGGCTGCTTGTTTGCTTGGACCTCGCTGAGTGTCGGCAGGCACGTCGCGGATTCCACCGACGGCTTTCTCTGGTCCGGCGGCGGGGCCAGCGGCGGCCCCGCCGGGCCGCCGTCCTCGCCGGGCTGGCTGCTGCCCGGGGGAGCTGCCGGGTGGCCCTCGCCGGAAGCCGGCGCGTCCTGCAGGCAGGCTGCACCACTCCGGAGGTCCGACGCGTCCAAAGAATTGGATCACCCAGTGGCCGTGTTCGGCCTCCCGGGGCCCCGCACCGGGCCTCGGGAGCGTTAAAAAACGAGTCGGGGGGAACAGTTAGCAGAGTTGCTAACTTTTCTAACTCCGCGTAACTATACTTAAATAGAGAGACCAAGTTAGCGAAGTTAGTAAGTTCATAACCTAATTATAACAAAATATACTTATTTAAAACAGACGTATAACATAGTTATAACATCGTTATAACTCACGGTAACACTTATTAACCACGCCGATCCTTTAGGCGGGGCGAAAAACCGGCCCCAGGAAAGTGGTTCAGACCTCGGGTGCCCACGCATCGAAAAGCAAGTGCAGCGGCGGGATGTCCGGTATGCAAGAAGCATCTATACACCACCGTGCCAGGCCAGGGTCATCCTGGCCTTGGCATGGTGCATGCGCCAGCCTGGCCGATGCCAGGAGGGTCTGTACACCAGCTTGGGGCCCAGGATGGCCCTGGCCTGGCACGGTGGTGGTGTATAGATGCCTTCGCCGGAAACAAAGTAACACCCTCACAAGAAGCAGCCCGACGAGCATAACCGTTCCGTCGACGCACCCAGAGGGGGAAATCGAACAGGGCAGGGCTGTTTGGCAAACGCCTGGGCCGTTTGGTAAACGCCACTTACAGGGTTGGGGGGACTTTTGAAGGGGCCCACGGACACACAAACAAATGCACACAAATCCCAAGATCCCCCATCTTTTCCCATATGTTCTGGGTTTTTGTCTCCCCCCCACTTCCCATATTTTCCCATCTTTCCTTCGGAATCGACGATTCACTGTGTCTGTGTGTTTTCTCCCCTCCTGAATTATTCCTCTCTGGTGGAGCCACGGCCATCCCCTGCACATTGTTTTGGTTTCCTGCGCGTTTTCCCCAGCGCGGTCCAGACTTCCCGGCGCCGGGATGGCCGCGAGAAGGTGCACGCGTCCGAGCGATGTGAAGATCTTGGGCCACGCTCTCGCGGCAAAAATCTGACAGGGGCCCAGGGGCACACAAGCAAATATACACAAATCCCCGGATCCCCATTTGTCCCATATATTGTGGAGTTTCGTTTTCCCCCTATATCCCATATGCCTTATATTTTTTCCGAAGGAATCGACGGACATGTGTGTGCGTGTGTGTGTGTGTGTGTGTGTGCGCGTGTGCGTGTATGTGTGTAAGTGTGTTCGTTCGTTCCCCCGCCGAATGCGGGACGCCGTATCCTCTCACCTTCTCAACCGAAACCTCGCGCCAAGGCAAACAATGTAGGTGGCGGTGGGTAAGGGTGAAGTACGCGGGTGGGGCACGGTCCGCTGTGCAACCACCCACCACCGATATACACACCCCGAACGCTGCTCTTCAAAGCACCCAACGGCCAGGATCTGCCCCTTCCCCGCACTGGTGGACCCAGTCTTTGCACAAGCACACGCGACGCGAGACAACCACGGCGCTGCAAGCCAAGCGCTGCATGCAGCTCGTGCTGTGTGCGCACTGTCTCGGCGAGTGTTGGTGTCAGTCGGTGCCGGGTGGCGTGAAGGGGCGCCCCTGCACCGCGCGACTCCGCACAAGGCTCACAGTAGCATGTGGGAGCGCGGGTGGGTGAGTGTGCGTGTGTAAACGGGGAGGGGGGCAAAGGGGGCCACGAAGAGGGCAGGAAGCAGGGGCAGAAAGGAGAAGCGGAACGGGGACAGGACGAAGGAGGAAAGGGGAGGGGTAGGGGAAGGAAACGACGACGAGAACGACTGATCGGGGGCCGGGGCCGGCGGTCCCGGCACGGAACCGGTGGCTCGGGATGCCACGCCGCTACACATCACAGCGCAGCACAGCACAGCCGCACGTGTGCGTGCGTGTGGCAGCACATCACAACAGAACTCAGCACATGACGACACACCACAGCACAACACAGCACAAACCCGCACATCACACATCACAACACATCACATAGCATCACAGCAACGCCGCTTAGCGTGTGTATGCACATATAAACAAATGAGAGTATATATACACACGCATACATATATACATACACACATATAATATATATATATATATATATATATATATATGTATGTATGCGTGTGTTTCTGCGTGTGTGTGTGTGTGCGTGTGTGTGTGTGTGCGTGTGCGCGTGCCTGTGTGTGTGTCTTGGTATGTTTGTGCGTGTGTATATGTGTGCGTAGATGTGTGCGTGTGTGTTCGTGTTTGTGTTTGTGTGTGTGTGCGTGTGCGTGTGCGCATGCGCGTGCGTGTGCGCGTGCGTGTGCGTGTGCTTGTGCGGGAGCGTGTGCGTGTGCGTGCGTGCGTGTGAAGTGCGTCGCGAACGATTTCCATCAAAGACGCCACAGGACCGATGAGGAGAACCCTATTCAGGACACGGGCTGTCTCCACAAACGCCAGAGTTCATTACCTGGAAGCGTTTGGATATTCCAAGATGCTCTTCAATGCTGGGACATGGATACTCGATAAGGCCACGGACCCCAGCATAATCAACGCGGCGTGCGTATCAGCAGCACGGCAAGCCATCGGCATCGCTCACACCGAGATGATAACGAAGGCAATCACCAACCTCGAGATCCTCACGAATGCGAAGCTGCCGACGGTCGAGACGCGACTACGACAACTCCTTCGCCAGCTCGCCCGCCTCATCACCCAGTGCACAAGGGAGCTCCAAGCGCTAGTCGACGACAACATCGCCAACTCGGGAGCCTGGGCCCCTTGGATCAACAACGATATCCACAAGGTAAGCGAGAGTATCGAGTAACGAGGCACGACTACAAAGATCAATGGCATCGTCGGGTGGTTCACTGTTGCGCGCGGATGCCCACGAGCCATCAAGAGCATCGTAACAGCAGCAACACGGAGGGCGACAGCATGGACCGACGACGAAGCACGACTAGCGAGACGGAGAGCGGAATTGACGGCGACGTGCACAATAGCTGCACCTCTCATGATGACTGACACCACGACCAGCACCACGTCTAGTAGCCAGACATGCAAGTGCTACCAGTGTGGGGCGAAGCTCGGCACCAAAGCGGCATACACCAGGCACATCAACGTCCACCACCAGCTCGGATAACATCGCCAACGTCGCAACGGGGACTACATGCCGGGTCTGGTTCAGGGAATACAGCACGCCGAACAGGATCAAACACGTAAAAGCCTCATTGGTGTGTGCAGCATCCTGGATCAACGCGCGGATCTATCCAACCATCGACGAGGTCGAAGCCAACAAGGCTGAGATCAAAAGAGCACGACGCAGCAACAAGCATGACGGATTGCCCGAGGACTACGCCGAGATCCCGTACATGCAGCTCCAAGTGCCACCGATAGGCCCCAACATCGTCGATATCGACGGAGTTGCAGCGCCGGTACCAGCCATGGCATCATCACAAATCCGAGCGACAGACGCGGAGACCGAGAACCCGAACAATACAAACGACGACGACAGCGCAAAGGTTCCCAACGTTACACTCATCATGTCTGACAACGGCCGCTACATTACTGACACCTGCCAGAAATCCAACAGGACGTCGAACTGACTGCGAAAAACATTGAAGTCAAGATGATATCCCTCCACGAACAAGATGACAATAACATCCAGGACACCCTCAAGCTCATCCGTGAAAAAGAAGTTCCCCTTTCTGTCCTATTGACATCAATATCGACACCGTGAGCCATGACGAAAAGATGCGCAACAGCTCCACCCCTTGGAAGCAGAGGCATATGAAGGAATCAATGAGCCAACGGGTACGAGCAATTGATGAAGCACTGCGACGAGCAATATCGATTGCCTATACCAGTAGGGCCAGCTCGACACCTTGCACCATCCTCGACCACACGGGCAAGCACCCCAAGATTGACGAATACGAGGCCATACGATGCCAGCTAGGGGCCATCACCAACGCCGACGAGACCATCGTTGGCATCACTGGCAGCGATGGCTGAGATCCGACGTTGCTGACAAATTGCACCATCGCGAAAAGCCACGAGCGGCGGCCTAGACCCCATCTCTCTGCTGCATCCTTCACGCCGAATCGATCTGTGAGGGCCCCGGAGGCCCGAAAAAGCATGCGAAGACGCCCGCGGCGGACAAGACTGCAGGCAGCCCGTACCTCGAGGCCCGCGCGAGCTGGTCGGGCCTGCGGGTCTTCGGGCCAGAGCTCGGGAGGATCCAGGCCTCCCCGGAAGGGCCACGTACCAGACAGACCACCCCAACCCAACCCGAAGTTCCATGCGTCCTGGGAGGAGGAGGAGGAGGAGGAGGAGGAGGAGGAGGAGGAGGAGGAGATGGAGGACGAGGAGGAGGAGGAAGGAGGAGGAGGCCTACGGGCTCCATCCGTGTATTTTTCCCCACGTTCCGGGACGCCCCCACACTGGGAAAGTATAGGGCAACTCGCCGGGTTGGTTTGGGGTGGTGGGGTGGATGGTGACGGAATGCTTTCGACGAGGCGCAGCTGATTGGAAGCCACCCAGGGCTCTGGGAAACACGTTCGAACATCGGGGGGGCATAAAGTTGGCGAGGTGGGGTTGGGCGGAACACCGCTTCAAACGCCCCCTGCAACAAGGAAATGTGAGCATCCACTCGTTCCCGATCCTCACCATAGGACCCCCTCCCCTCTACGACCCCCCGAGTCAACTCTCGAAGCCCGCCCTCGAAGACTTCCGGCGGCGGCGCCGCCGCCCCCCCCCCCACACTTAGCGGCGAACGGGAAGACCGCACGAAAAATGCCCCCCCTGGCCGCCGAGAGCCCCCGAAGTAGAACGCAAAAGGTGATTTGGAATCTCACACGATGTTTTGTTGACGGTTGGTTGTCATTCAGAAACGTGTCATGGTTTTCTGTGACTGTTGGTTGTGTTGTCTATGATGTTCCATAGCAGCCAGTTTTGACTGGACAGCCAATTAACAAAAAACAAAAGAAGCGTCTGATGCTCCATATGGGTTTCCCATAGTTCGCA